AAGGGCAGGGAGGCGGATCAGAAGTCCCTGCAGCACTTGTGCTCGCTCTGATAGGCAGGGACAACACAATTGGGTGCTCCCGTTCTACCTCGAATACCAAGGCAGACTGGAGGAGCATTAACTCCGCGATCGCTGCAATCTGGGGTTAAAGGAAAAACTTTGACGGAAAATTTCCATCTTTGGTCAGGAAGGGGTTAAAATATTGTTTTCTGCATTATCGCTTTTTTAAAAAGAAAAAAATTCACGTACTAACAAATCTTTGAAATATACCCCTCAACTTTGGGAGTCATTAAAACAGGATAGGGGAAGGGCTGGTGGGCTTAAGGGCATGCTTAGTGAGGAAACTTGCCACTCAAGCCGGGCAATGTAGCAAATGCTGCCAAACTGCTCCTTGCATGGTCCTCGTGCCCTCAATACAGCACGATTGTGTTTAATAACAGAGTCTGCGCTGTGCTGGCTATAGTCATTACCCATGAAGCGGGATCAGGGAACAAAAATGGAACGGTGGGACTAAATTGCCTAAATCAGGACAGCTGATAGATATAGATATGTCACACTTCTTACCTGTGTCTCAATATCGCGGACATCACAATCCCGTCCAATGGCGTAACGCAACTCATGATTAGGCTTGATTAGAAGACTGTGCTTGTCTTATTCTAAATATAATAAAAATAAGGCTTAATTATTAATCTGTGGGTAAGTGTTAATGTTTCTTTTGGATATGATACTGGAACACAAGGCTAATGGCCATTAACATATCAAAGACTCCCCTATCTAAGAGGGAATCTAGACATGTGGCAAATGATAGAGTTAGTTTATATTGAAATCAGACTTCCAAGCCACTTATGTGTGACTTCTCACACCTTACAGAGTAGCTCTGTTGGGGTCCCAGCTTAAAAGAGGAATTTAGGTTGTAAATCTTCTGCCCTACCATACAATCAAATTAACCAGTTTTGGAATAGACAATACCACCTCTACCAAGCAGCCAGTTGATGTATTCACTACATACGTTACAATAAATGACAATATTCCATAGTGCAACAATGAATTAGGCACCCTTGCCGTGACACCTAGTAACTTGGTTACCTAGGTTACATGACCTTACTAGATACTCGTCTTACGTGATAATAAGTTAATGTAAGGGTTTTCATTTTTTTATTCAGTGTGTTGTACATACTTGTGCCTGACACAGACCTTACCACGGTTCGAAACGTTGCTTGCTATTCTGGAAACCTAATAAATTGGGACTGCTTATTTCATAAGTGCTTAAACTTTCATTGGAGCCTTTTATATTGGAAACCTCAGCTATTGGACAGCTATCAAGGATGCTAAGTAATGAGTGTCATGTCCATTTTTCTGTTAGGTGTGAGAAAGAATTATATTTTGCATTGTTAACACAGAGAAATATTAAAACTACCTATACTAAAAACAACATAGTATAAAACATTCACTTCCTGTTTATTTGATTGTGTTTCTAGTAGGCAATTATGTTATTCACATATTTGTGTATGTGTTGAACTCATCGAATATTATGAATGTGGGGAAATTCATTTTGCAATTTTCAGTTTTCAATTTCTTTACTTCTCTACTATACTATCGGTACCATAGGCACCTAGACCACTTCAGCTCATTGAAGTGGTCTGGGTACAGTGTCCCTATTGCATTTAGTACTGCAATGTAAAACATTGCAGTTTTAGAGAAATTGCAATGTTTACATTGCAGAACTAAGTCTGCCTCCAGTGGCTGTCTACCAGACAGCCACTAGAGGAGCTTCCTATATGTTAACGGACTTTTGGTCCGATAACTGATGCTGGATGTCCTCACGCTCTGCATAAGGCCATCCAGCATCAGCATTAGAACCCTTTCATTGAAGGACGTCGTAGGAGGCAGAGCCACGGTCCAGCACTGAGGGAATCAGGTAAGTAAATAAAGGGTTTTTAACTCTTTATTCATGTTGGCATGGGGGCACGAGGCAGTGGGGAGGCAGAGGAAGCTATATTGCCATCAATACAGCTTTGTATTCCAGGCACTATACTATCTTTTTAAGTTTTTTCTTCCAAACATGTACACAACTCAGGAGCATCAGTCAATAGGAAAATTGTTAACCTAGAATTACTTCTTGGGCAACCTGCCATCTTTTTACCTACAAATTCCATAAATCACATTCACATCTCTGAACACAGCTTAGAGTTCTATATGTAAGTCCAACCAAGATGACTTGTGTGCTTGTTTTTAACATAAAAAAATCCATGTATTATCACTATTAGAACAACAATTTGTTTGTACAACACTTAAAACGATAGTGTATAATCAAACTACATGCTGTGTTTTTTTATTCTTCTATTTTCAATTATAGTAATGATCTAAAGTACACTGTAGAAGGGGTTATAGTGCAGAGATAAAAAACACAGACCATCAAGTGGGTGGCACTGATGGTAGATAAGGACTGTGTAAATCAGAAGGTCGGGCTTAGGGACAGTGACACAGTGACAGCATAAAACAGAAGGTCATTTCAGCATACAGCCACAGAGATAAATGAAAATGTGGGAGTAACAGAGAAAAGAGGCACTGACATGAAATTAGCTGGGTATGACAAAATGATTTTGAGAAGCAAAACAAAAAGTATTTCAGCAGGACCCATTAGAATTGTTGACTTTCTGAATATATCAGAGTAAATATTGTGTTTAATGTTTATCCAAAGAAAAGACGTTTGTGGTTCAAGAATAAATATATGTGATTGATTTTTAAAATTGTATTTAACCCTTTTGTGCTTGAGAAAAGCAGATGCAAAAAGAAAAAGGACTAGACAAAAGTAATTTGATATAAAGTGGTACAATCTCCAAAGTTTTTCAGTTAAGAAAGTTTATAAAAATAAAACCAAATGGAAATATAAATTTCATGAGGGTGTTCCAAGATTAATGATGAGAGTAAGTTTCA